AAAAAAAAAAAAAAGGAATACCAAATGGGAATACTAAAAATAAAGCTAAAACTACATTGGTATATTTGTAATTCAAAGCCCAAAGAAGCAAGTTAGATGAATTAGGTGTTATCCTTAAGTAGACTGAACTCAAAACACTCACAGAAGCGGTGCACCCTAACTTTCTGTCAATCCCAATGGCAATTACAGTGAAAACCAGGTAACTCTGGCATCACTAAGTACTTAGCCTTCTAGGTAAAGAAATTCACCAGAAGCATTCACAATTAATAAACTGTATGATGCTGCTGGAAGGTCAACATAATCATAGCTACTTATCTTTAACAGAGAATTTGAAAAACTAAATGACTAAGTGCTGAATTTAGGATTCCTAGTTTAGATCTCCTATTTTATTAGCTCTTTTATCTCTGATGAAAAATATTTATGAAAAAACAAAAGGTGCTCCATAACTCACCACCAGGCATTACATGCCCCACATCCTGAACTGTTAGTGCTGAATTTTTATCTTCAGTATTGACCCGTATCACCCCATAGCTCAATCCATTCATCGAGAGAATGGCTCTTCCTGGCAAAGGGGCCCCTGGAACTCCAGGCCTGAAAAGAAAATTTGGCAAATTAAATAATATAAAAAAAAAAATGAACATGTAAGAAAACAAATTTCCTCTGATTACAAATAAAAAGAATCTCCATTTTCTCTAACAATAATATGTCAAATTAATCAAATCCAAACATAAAAATCATGGTGAACTTTCAAATAGGTGGGAACTGTTAGTATTAATCAGTTGTTAAAAATATTGGTCTTGAGTATACTGTAAATATTCTATTCATATGTAAGCTACAAACAAGACCAGCCTATTTTTAGCTGAAGACGCTAAGGATTCTAAAGAGCAAAATGACACAGAAAAAGAACTAATTTACAAATATGAGATGAGATTAATTAAGGTAAATTTCCAGTTTACCATATACACTTTGGGCAAAAGTAGGAAAAATAAATGAGATGCTTGAAACAATTTTACAAAGTAATTTTCCGCTTCTATGTTTATGAAGTGGAAAATTACTTAGCATCCGTTTGGCATCACCTGGTAAATGTTACATATTCCATCCAAGCTGTGACACACATCAAGAGCACCTGAGATCCTGGACAGTACCTGCGGATTGCTACAGTCATGGCTTCCGCAGACGTAGCACACGGACAGATGGCCTCCGGTTTCAGGCCATGGCTTTGGAACAGACTCAGGAAGGCATCACAGGATGACACAGACCCTAAGGAGTTCGAACAGATCAACCTACAGCTGAAATTGTGATTTTCATTATTGCAGGAAAACAACAAAGAGTAGACAGCTAATACATCTGTTTCCCATGAGAACTCACATTGTATACTGTTAATTCTACACAAATATTTTACTGTGCCTGTGAGGTGGTTTGATACATTTCAAGGGCAAATTAATGCTCAGTAAGCCCATGAAAGGTTACTGAAACTATTTAAAGTTGCAACCTGGAATGAGGCTGTTCCTACCAAACTGACAAATTAATATCAGAGATAACACTACAGGCAATATGCAGCCAGTTTATAATTTAAGCAGGTCTTCTTGAAGAACTATCATAATCCTTGAAATATGGGATTGGCTTAGTTCCACCTTCTTCTTTGTGATATTCTCTTTTTTCTTATTAAGGACTACTGACAAAAGCATAGAATCTAATGCTTTACCTGATTCTACTGTGTGAAGGCTCAGGACTTTTGAGCTTGAAGGGAAAAGCAGGTAACATAGTAAGATCTCTGAAAGATTTTGCAACCCCTTCAGACTTTCTGCTAGGGGGAATTTAGATGAAGTCCAGATAGTTGGTTATATCAAGTCACCCTCAGAGTGTTCCTTTAAGGAATACCCACAAATACATGACAAAAAGAGGATACGAAGGAGAGAACAAGAAAGAGTAGTTTAAGAACTTTCAGCTTTGCCAGAAGTTGAACAAATAAATAAAATGTGGTTTATCTACATGATGGAATATTATTTGGCAATAAAATGAACAAAGTACTGTCAGATGTTACAACATAGAGGAACCTTGCAAACAGGCTAAGTAAAGTAAGCTCATCACAAAAACCCACAAACTGTATGACTGCAAATGCTTAGAATGGGCAAATCCAGAGAGAGATTAGCAGCTGCCTCAGCCTGGGGCAGTAGGGAGAAATGGGAGTGACCAATTTCTTTTCAGAGTTATGACAATGTTCTAAACTTAGATCACGGTGACAGCTGTGTAACTCTGCGAATATACCAAAACCAATTAATCATATGTTTTAAATGGGTGAGTTTTAAGGCATGTGAATTATTATACCTCCATACAGATGTTTTTTAAAGAGCTTATAGAAAGAAGGCTACAAAGCAAAGGATATTCCCAGACCCACACTGCATAAATACTCACAGGGATTAGCTCCATCAGTCACAATTAACATGCGGAGGGAGCTCAAGCTCACGTCTCTTTGGTCCCGATGTGCCATCATAGCCCAGTGCAAGTCTCGACATTTTACTAAAGCTACCTTGGCTATAAATTCAAAAGGGATGAAGTTAACATACACATATGTACTAAATTTAGTATATATTTAATGTACCATAATAAAAACATATTTACTTATTTTGGGAATCATAATTTCCACTTACTGAAAATAAAAAAGGATTCAAAGAGATTGTGCCAGTAGCTCAGAAACAGAAAGCACCTTATTTAAATAAAAAAAAAAAAAAAAAAAAAGGCTCGGCGCCTGTGGCTCAAGTGGCTAAGGCACCAGCCACATACACCTAAGGTGGCAGGTTGGAATCCAGCGCCGGCCCGCCAAACAATGA